AAATCAATTCAAGAAACTCATTAATTTCAGGATGATGGAATGGGAAGTGCTAAAATGCTAACTTGTTTCTGTGTTTTGGCATACAAAAATACATTATTCCTTCAGCACTCTATTATAGACAAAACAGTGATTTCTTTTAGGAAAATAATTTATGGAAAAATAAGTTACTTAAATTATTTTCTTGTACAGATTCTGTCATACTACAGAATTACCATGTAGGCTGACCTGTTTTCATGTCACAATCATGAAAAGGTGAGAAACTAATGTAATGTGTTCTTTCTGACAGGCAGAAGCTGTTCTTACAAAGACTTACCCAGGAAAACGCGTGTCTGTAGTAACCAGTAGTGTTTTACCCAAAATGCCCCCAAACCCCTCCAGACTGGACCGCCTCATTGTAGACCAGCTGCGCGAACAGGCCAGGGTCAGTCCAGTATTTCTCATAAAAGTCTTGCCAAGGGGTTTCAAACAGGGGGCCACAAGAGAGTGCTAGTGAGCCTGCCTAAAAGTTCAAACAAATACAGTGTAAAAATGTAAAGGAAAATAAATGATTATGAATAGTATTATGTAATCATGAGAGAATAATCAAAATGATTTTATTCTATTGGCACCCATAGTGTTATGTTGTCTCCGGGTTTTACACCTAATAGTAAATAATAGTAATCTAATAGTGGTGGGTGGAAAAAATAAACTAACAACTTCATAGACAGTGAATATTTTACACATATGTATCATTTCTATTTGTGCCATCTGATCTTATATTCTAGAATTAAATTGTAAGTGTTTTAAACTAGCAAAAATGAATGAATTTTCTATATTATAATGCAGAATTGCATTGTGTTTGTAGGTGGCAGGTTTGCTAGGCAAGATGGAGCAGTTGCGCAGTTTTCCGCTTCATGCTAATGTTGGCTCAGCATTGGACAGGCATCTTGAGGTCATCTACATCACTCAGGCACGCCGTAAGGACGAATTCATCAATGCCAGCAGCAGACAGAGGCAGCCAGCGGCCTTCTTTAGAGAGGACAGGGGTTAGTGAGTCATACACTATAACAAAACCAGGAAAATACACATACAAAAATTCAAAATCTTATATAAACTAGTGTGAAGCTACAATCCTAGAAAAGTGGAAGATGACAGGGCTTGGTAAAGTCCCACTCAGCCTTAGTTTTACTGCATAAGGCTGGAATACACTACACGACTTTTAAAATCTGAACAGATTTTTAAATACTGGGCATCATACACTTACCAAATTTAAAAACTGGCCATCATACATGAAACAACGTGTTCTAAAATCTGCTGAAAATATCAAACATGTTTGATATCCTCCGACTGGATGGAATCAAAGTCTGCAGCTAAAATATTGGAGTCTGACCATCATGTGATTTTCTATGAAATATGTCATCTCAAATCCTCAGACTGGCTCTGAGTTTTGCCAAATAGTGTCAACTTCTTCAGATAGTACATTGGCGGAAAATCGGGGCAAAAATTGTGTAGTGTATTCCAGCCTTTAGTAACAGAACATTTGCTTAGTTCTTGCATCTTGTGTGTTAAAAGGTGAAAAAAAAAAAATATATATATTTTTCACATCTCACAGAGATCCTTCTGTTGGCATCTGCAGTGAAGGACCTGTGCAGCAGCACCAGAAAGGCCCGGACCGCTCTTTGGTGTGCATTGCAAATGACTTTGCCCAAAACAAACAGTTACCCAGAGGAGAGAGACGAGCTGGGTACCTGCTCCCCTTTAGGCCAAGACAGTCCTGAGCAAAGCAGCTTGGAGAGAGCACTGACTGCCCTGTGATCAATTTCTGGCAGGTATACAGTTTTTTGTGTGTGTTTTTTGACACAAAGTAACATCGATCTAACCCTGTCCAAAAAAGTGCAAGAGGTGATGGAATTGCATTTTAAGAAGAATGAATGAGTTATTTAAGTTATTCCACTAAAGTGATATGTTAGGCTCAGTTGTGGGCAGCAGATGGAATTCTTAGTTCATTAATATTTATCAGTCTTCTGTGAAAACCACCAATCAGATTATAATCAAATTCTCCAAAAGACATGGAATTATGGCAGTAAGATCAGTACTGAGCTATTTTGTCCAAGGACCCCAGAAGAACTGCCAGTATAAACAAGGCGTTTTGAGAGAGTATGAAAGAATGATTTAACAGTGACAGAAAGAGAGATGAAATTAGAGGAGGGACCTTTTAACTGGCTAATGGTGATAATGGAACAGAATGTATGGCAAGAGCAAGATCTGTGGCTTTGGAGGATAATTGGATATTTTTGCCCAGTTGACCTAGAAATGTATAAATAGTTGCACAGGAAGCAAAAAATTATTTGTGTTGAAGTTTTTTATTTTGACAGTTTAATTAGTGTCTCCTACAACCCATTCAAAATCCTCAGCTAATTTTAGTTCCAGTGACATTCATTCAGGCAAAAACAGTATTTATGATCAACAGGACATGTTCAAGTTGTCCTTTTATTACTTTACTTATTTATGTGCATGATTCTTTGGCGTCAGCACTTGGTTTTTAGTGGTCTCACTGGATAAGCAATGACAATCACATCTTTCCTAAATCTGTTTTGTTTTTGGAAACTTTGAAAGTGAATTTATTTATTTGCAGTTTATCTCAATTCTGAATTCATCTCAGTATTCTCTATATTTCAATGTATGTATGTGGTCAATCTGTCTGTGATGTAACTCATTTGAGGATATATCGAGTAGCTGAGAGTAACATCATTCATGGACTGAAATAAATGATGTCAACAACATGTTACTAGAAAATGCTACAGACTGACATAGTTCATATGACGTGTACTCATATTGCCTTTGTTTTTTTTGCTTATGCTTTTGTTCAAGTTTAACAATTAAACTAACACAACACAAAATCCCAGAGCTCACAGAGTGGTGCGTAAAACTAATGTTTATTTAATTAAACATTGATTCAAAATACAATGTTAATCAATGCTCTAATTAAAAAAAAATGCAGATCCCAGTCTGTATACAATGAAACTAAAATCATTCAGTAAAGCTGCAGTGAATTTGACTGTTCACTTATAATAATGTGTTTTCCTCACTCATAAAGTTCCTCCCTCTCATTCAGGTCTGAAAATCCTAGACATTTACTCAGCAAATATCATATTGAAAATCCTTAAATGTCCACCGAGTTGAGGCTTAACAGAATAAACCATACTGAAGAGTGTACCTTGCTAGATGATTTCCATTATTAAATCATATGGACACTTTTCAAGTTTGACACCTTACAACATTTAAGTTGCATTAATGTAAAGAAAACCATCAGAGGTAAGCAAAGCAGTGTTTGGATTATGGAAGTTTCACCAGTCAACAGTGTTGAAGAGTCAGAGCTCTTATTGCATAAATAGAAGATTCATTAAGAAATTATAATATCTTCTGCAATCGGCAGAGACACTTAGAGTTTACAAGCAAAGTGAAGCTTCTGATGATCCCTCTGAATCAAACTGAGTCTGTAGGATAAAAAAAGCATCTAACGCATCCATACATCAATTTTAAAAACTGCAACTTGTGGCTGTGGTAGAAAACCTACACATGACACCAAGGCAGAACTATATTCTCTGATTCAAGTTATATTAGTCGAGAGTGAGCACATTCATTTACACAACTCAATTTATTGTACCAACTTCCAGTACAAAATGTTAAATACTGTGGCTTTGATAAAAGAATGCCTCAATCACCTGATCTTACAAGCTAACAGACACAAAAGGTTTCTCATTGTAGCATATGAGAAGGCAGTCTACAAGGTATTAGCACAATATGTAGCAGCTTCAAATGAACAGTTGTCAATTGATATATATGTGCACACACACATACCCTGCTCACTTTAGGATAATCACTGTCCTACAATAAAAATAAACCACAACTGAAACAGAAACAGCCACTAGGAGCAAAAAAAACTACATGTCGGCCCCCGCCTCCTCTCCCATTGATTAGCAGTTTTGTTTCTCTGTCTTTGGGTTGTCTCTGAGCCCTCTCCATATATTGCTACATGACGAGAAGGCTTCCATTGGTTTCTGAAAAAGCTTGTGAGCTGTGAGCTTTTGCATCTTGAGCTGTGTGTTAAAAATCAATGTTGTGCTACTGAGGAGCAACCCATGGAAAACATAAAAAATGGTTCACAGGTTATTTGAAAGTCCCTCAAGGCAATAAGATGGGGATCTATGCTGTTTTTAGACACAAGAATGTTGGTTATCCGCTGGTAAATGTTAAAGAGTGAATTTAACAGAAACATGTTGAAAGGGTGAATCTCATGGAAACATGTCCAGGTCACTTTTCAACTGCCTTATATATATATATATACACACACACACACACAGTATTGTCAAAAGTATTGGGACACCCCCTACTAATGAACCGGTTTGTCAACTTTAGTCTTATATCACTCTACTTAATGATATTCTAGGGAATTGTGTGCTTCTAATTTTATAGCAACAGTTTGGACAGGACTCTTTTCTAACATGACAATGCCTCTGTGTATAAGACAAGGTTCAAAAAGAAATGATTGATTCAGTCAGTGTGGAAGAACTTGAGTGGTCTGCAGAAACCCAGCTGAACACCTCTGGCGTGACTTTAAATGCAGACCTCGAGCCAAAAACTCATCACCAAACACCAATGACTTGTACATATGAGTAAAGTCATTTTAGACACTTCCAAAACTGTTGCAAAAGAGATGGAAATACAATTTTTAAATACATGAATTATGTTTCCATCTTTTTTGCCACAGTTTTGGAAGTGCCTTTTTCTGTTCTAAAGAAGGGTGTGACCCAATACTTGATTTATAAAAAGTATATTGAGAGCGAGAGAGATCAAATGCAAAAGCCTGTAAGTGCCGTTTGAAATTTTCTTCTAAAATGAGCATTTTTATCAGCCTCCTATGTGTTGGTTTAGTAATGTCACTTGAATGGCAATGAATAGGTTCTTTTCTTTGCTATTAAAGTAAAATAACAATTATGAAGAAAAATGACAATTTTAGAAGAAAATTTTAGATGGCACTTAGAGGGTTTTGCATCTGAACTCTTCATATATATTTATATACACGCACCAAAACGCAAATAAAACTTGTTTTAGGATTATGAAGATATTTTGCATAGCCACATTATACTTTACAATTTAAATATTCATGTAACACAGAAATGACTATTTTAACCAAAATATGAATTATGATTTTTGGGTTGAAATGCAACCTGAACATGTTTTTGACAGGGTGTGTGAGATTTACCCTTAAATAAGTAGCACAACAGTCAGCACATGTAAAAATCAATGGGTCATGATACAATTCTCATTCAGTTTGCTGGTTTGCCATTAGTTTTTTTACAAGCCAAGAAAACAGCGAAATCGGCCCAACATTATCATTCCATAAGCACTATCGGACCCAAAACAGGATATGGATGCATACATTGTTAGTTGGGGCATTGTTTGCTGAGGTCTCATTGTATTTTTCTCTTGTAGATAAATGACCTTGGTATCGTACAGTCCACAAAAGTTTTCTTGCTCTGAATTTTCTCTCTATCTCTTGCGTTCTCCCTTCTGTGTGCGTTTCTTTTCTTTGTCCTTGCGCTCCTGCTTGGCCAGTTTGTCTTTCTCGCGTTGCATCTTGTCCTGCTCTTTCTTCTTCTCTGCGTCCTCTCTGGCCTGGTCACGCTGCTGTTTGCGGCGGTTCAAAACATCCTCCACATTGGTGTTTTTGAACAGGGCTGGGGCTGGCAGTGAAGGGAACAGTTCATGTCTAATCATTGCAGATCATACTACAGCTGCTCCTACAACAGTACTGCACACTATATATACTGTGTATAACCAGAGCAGAGATCTTCTCCTGAAGTGATCGTGGTTATTACATAGTAGAGTGATGGTGTCAAAAAGGATACATTTTTCACTGGGTATACCCACTGCAGCTGGTTCTTCCTCATCATCTTCAGTACAAATGTTAAAGAAACTGCTTCACACTGGATCACCTGATCCCTGACCTTGAGAGAGACTTGGTGATGCTTTATTCTTAACAAAGTGCCATAAAAAATACAACATTACAAACAAGTGTGTTAAAAGGATATTCCTCCTCATCTGTGACATGAGCATACTGTGCCAGTAGAGCCTCTTTCCTCTTCTTGGCTTCCTCCGACACCTCCTTCTGTTTGACCACAATCTGTGCCTGCTTCTCTATCATACTGGCAATAGCCTGAACCTCAGCTGAAAATAGAAAACAAAAAACAAAGACAGTAGCTGAAAAACATGTTTATATCACTATTACTGTACTGTGAGATAATACAGAAGAAAAGAATGAGAACAATTACAAATCTTGAGGTTATACTAAAATTATGGAATTGTTACACAAAAAAAAGTGAGAAATAAAAATATTAACGTACAGCCCTGTTCAACAGTTTTGTAAAATTGTTTAATTTTTGTTTAAAGATGCCTCTTATGCTCACCAAGGCTTGATTTACTTGATCAAAAACCAGTAAAATTGTTTAGCATTATTACAAAATTGACTGAATTCACTTAATACATAATTTATTAGTATTCAGGACAGCTGAATTTTCAGCAGCCCTTACTAATATGATGATTGGCTCAAGAAACATTCTTCTTATCAATGTTGAAACCAGTTGAGCTGTTTAGAAACTGATGCCTTTTTTTAGGGGTTTTTTAATAGTTCAAGTTTTTTTGAAACTATTTTTTGTAACATTATAAATGTCTCTAGTCCCGTTTGATCAGTTGAATGTTTCCTTGCTAAATAAAAGTATTAATTTCTTAAAAAGAAAAATCTCACCACACACTTTTGAACAGTAGTGCAATGTTGATCACTCACAGTAGCGCGAGACTGGTAAATGGGGTCGCTGAGATTCCCCTTTTCTCATTTCAGCTCTCCACTTACCATCTCCCGGAGTACCCTTCACTGCAGATCTGCTGCACTCAGTCCACTGTTTTAAGATCTGCTGGCAAACCTCCTCAAGCGTGTCTTCTTCCTACGACAATAAAGTGACCTCTGTTTACTAACACAAGCCTAAAACGGTCAGGCAAACGACTGTATCTGGATGTTTACAGTGACTTCACACCAATCTCTCTGCACACACCTTGCGTAAAACTACATTCAAATATAGTTTACAACATCTGAAAATAAGCTGCTCGTGTGCGATTATTTTTGAGTAACTTAAATGATGATAATAATAATAAACATAGTATCAGTGAATGGCAACAGGCGTTTGATCACGTGTCGCACTTTAACTACGCAAATGAAGGGCCAAAAAAGCAATTCAAGAGTGTTTTTCGGGTTTATGATGAGGTTTTCAGAACAATTGTGAAATATTACAAGTTTCTAACAGTGTGAGATATCTTGACAGCGTGCGAGCATGCGCGTGTACTGACCAGAAAAGCGGACAGGATGCCCTGAAGAGCGTCCTTTTGCTCTTCATCGTTTTCCTCTTCCTGAAGCACTCCGAGTATATATGCTCCGTAAACTTCTCTGTCAACTTCGAGGGAGTCCAGCCGCTCGTTCAGCCAGTTTTCAAACTCCCTGGCGATTTGGGTGGGCGCCGCCATTTTCCCTGGCTGGGGTCCTGATAGTGAGGCGGGATGTCCGCGCAGAAGGCCAGACACAAATGCGCTACACTAACGTTCAACAGAAAATCCATACTTTACGCATCCTTTTCATTGCGATAGAATTTGCGAACGTAGTTATTTCATTATTTACACGGGGAGATTACATTTAGCTTGGTATTCATATAAGTGAGTGCCGTCTAGTACGTGCGAAAAGCTTATTTAATTGCTCACAATTTAAGCGCATATCATGTTTGAAGCAGGCATTGTTTTTATAATGCAAGCGTCCTGTGCAGCAAAGTGGTATCAGAACAGTTGATTTGAAACCAAAGCTCACCACTAGAGGGCATTAGCTGCCAATTTACCCAAGAAGGCCGAATTCTCAGGTGCACATCCGGATCCAGGTAAAGAACTGTTGGATGCTGCTGTATTAAAAAAGCATATGATTTTGTTTTTGTTTTTTAGCAATACATGATTAACACGTTTGCATCTGGTGGGGGCATTATTATTTTGGTGCATAACCTCATTTCACTTAGTAATCATAATCAGGTTTAAAACAGTGGTCAATGAAATGAATATGCATAATTTCAATATGCTGAGAGGGCTACAAAAATGTTTTATAGAATGCTTGTGTTTATGTTTCATAAATTGTGTATGTACATAGGTCTGCGTAAAAGTCTGCTCATGCTTAAGATTAAGCCTGTATCATATTTGATGCATGAATTTCTCAGGTCTTTAATATAGCAACCTGTTTTTATACAGTCTATGATATCAACATGATCAAAACTTTGCTGAAACACCTGTTGCGCACAATCTATGACTTGCTTCTTGCCCTCTGACTGATAGTTCATACTTTTTTAGTAAAAGACCTTTTAGTATAATTCTAAAAATGTCCACCCAAAAGGTCATGGTACACACGTCCTTTTGCAGTGAATGTAAGGCAAAGTAAATGTAAGGAGAACTTCACCATGAAAAATCATGTTAAAATGTATGATACAACAGTTTTGCTGAGAAATGTTTATCTCTCAATCACTGTATTGCATTGCAATATATGTTTTGCCCCCCAAGATTAAAATTAGAGTATAATGAAGCTTTTGATTATCTTTTTAAGACATACTGTTAGGAAATATATAAATTGCATATAAATATCAGTTTTCACTCTGTAAGTAATCTTCTATAGGCTACTGTTATTAAAAAATATGACTGATTTACATTACAAACTATCAGATTTGATCCGTTTTTTTGGTCATATAAATAACAATATCTGCACAAAAGTATTAATATTATTATTAATTTTCAGTTTGAGCCTCTGACTAAAATTGAGGTGGTTTTTTTTCTTCCTCGAATGTAAGCTCCATATTCTCGCTATTTCACATGAGCTATAAAAGCCGGATTTATGATACAAAACATAACTTACTTTAGATTTTGAGTGAAGGTTCAACAAATATTTCATTTTTGTAAAAAACTTGCTTTACTAGGTTTAAATCCAGGAGACTGCATCTGAAGTGTCCATTGGTGTTTACAAGTCCCTTGTGTATCAGTGTTTGTTCTGTTGTGAGTAAAATCCATCAGGCTTCAACAGTATTACTGTACGGCACAAGTTCATCCACTGAAAACAAATGAACAAATAGGTTGCACACATAAAGGAACAATGTAGTGAATTTGGCCTCTGTATGTAGAAATTCTGTGCTCGTGTTTTTTCCGTTTGATTATGTTTATGGTCTGGTTGTGACATCTGAAGCTTTTTCATGTCATCTCTGTGAGAGTAAAAAATCTATTTTAAATAGGAAGACAAAGTTTGAGGCTCTTTGAACATATAAGATTTTAGTTTATATGACTGATACAGAGAAAACATGAAAGTGGAAAGGTAAAATGTAAAGATGGAAAAAGAGACTGTTTGATAAGGCCATTCCCAGACATAAGGATCCAGGGTCGTTGTTGCTTGTTGCTGTGGGCCACTATTTTAAGCACTATTTTTATCAAGGGGATGCAGATTGATACAAAGCGACAAGAGCCAGGGGCTGTGGCAGAGCGTGCGGGTGGGCATCTACATGCTCGGGTCCAAAGGCAAACACTCACACTCTCTCTGTCTCTCTTTCAAAGATCTCTCTCTATCTCTGGTCCCCCTCCGGGACCAATACTGTGTCCTCTCTGTCAGTATCCCGGCTGTACACATCTGCATGTGACACAAACCTCCGGCCCGCTTTGTGATCAGCGTGTGTGTTTTCGTGTGGTCGTGACTGTTTTCAGGATGTCCCTAAAAAGTATTCAAATGTATTACAGTCTTGTTTTATAATTTAAGGTGATTAAAAGGTTAAGTTTGTGGAAGTTTTTAAATTGGAAATGAAAAGAAAGGAAGCGCTTCTTATAAATGAATTCATTAATTAGATCTTTACTGTATTTTATATATATTTTTTATTAAATTCCTTCAACTTCCTTCCATACTTCCTGTAGCTCAAACTGTAGAGCAGGTAATTGGCTTGATTCCCATGGAAAGTAACATCTGATTGCAAATTTACATTTTATGATTTTTTCAGCCCTAATCAAGATTCATGTAGTTCAACTGACTACATTGATGAAATGTTTAAAAGATTTTTCTCATTTAATAACATTTTTGATTATTGGTTATAAATATATATATATATATATAAATTGGTTTTAATAGTATTAAATTATTATTATTTTTTTAAATTAGCATTATAACGTCTTAAAAAGGCCTTACATTGCATTAATTTAAACATGCAGAAGATATTATACAGTCGAACCAAAAATTATTTAGACACCAAATATAATTTTTGATATGTTTTTTTTTTACTAGTGGGTGCAGGACACTATAGTTCATTTATGTAAGGTATGTGAGGATAGCAAAATAAAGTAAACTGTGTCATATTATGCCCAGTAAAACTGATTCAATTTTGGGACCAAAACTTATTCAGACACTTTGACCTGACCATGTTTTGCTTTAGTGTTTTTTCTTTAATTGCTAATGTGACCTTTTTATACCACAGACTGAACAAAATTAAGCATTGCTTGGTAATTGTTTGACCTAAATTGGTATTATCTAATTGTGTACTTAAATTGAACAGCTGACTGCTGACAGCTATTCAACCGAATTCATTTGTGAGACAGTCTAACAGAAGAATGGCATTATCAAGATGAATTTGTTCTGAGTTCTTGTCATATTTTAATTATCATTTTCTAAACTATAGCGAATAAACTGTGATAATGTGAGAAATGTTGAAGGTGTCTGAATAGATGTTGGTTTGACTGTATTTGCTTGTAGTTGCTTGTTTGTGCAAGTTAGCCCTGGTTTCCACCAACAACAGAAGCATCTTAATATTTAACAAAAAGTTTTTAGATTTATACCTTTGTATTTGTATTTGCATTTGCATGTGTGCGTTTTCTTGCAGTTGTGTCTGTGTTAGCTGTGCAAGTTCTAGCTATATAAAGGACAGTCAGCAGTACAATAGAGATGCAGAATGTCACATATGTAGCCATTTTCTGGCGTATGGAGTGGACGGCAGAGCAGAGGTTATCACTTTTCTTCCTTCACTGTCTTTCTCAGTGTGACAGCTCTGGCCTACACTATCTCTGTCCTCTTCAGACGTATGCGTCTTATCTTCAGTTTCACTCCATTCTCCAGGGCTGTCTTCCCTCAGCAAGGCAAGCGGCTCCCATTGTTGGGCCATCTTGTCTTATCGCTGCGCCGACCCTCCTTTGGCTGTTTTCAGTTGTGTTTTGCTCGTCACTTGGTTCTCGGCAAAACGGCAAACTGAAACACTGACAGCAAGAGGAGCCTGTCTAATGGAGCCTCACTCTGAGGAGAAAATAGCAAACAAACAATAGAGGAAGCAGAGAGGAGGGATTGTGTAATTCAGGAAGAGAGGATGGGGAGTGAATTTGCATACTATGCGTCCCAAATAGTGTCAGATATTAGAATTAGTGCATCCCCAGTAAAAGTAAATTTTCCAGTGGGTTTTTGCAGTTTGCATCAGCTAATGTTGCCCACAAATGCTTGTAGAAGAACAGAAGTGAAGGATTTTGTGAATTCACTTTATGGTTCCCAAGGAAGACTTGGAAATACCATGACATTTTTTGAATTGTAATTTTTATGACTTAAAACATAATGCAAATTAATATAATTAAATCAATGTAATCTTATTAAGATAATTATTATTAAGTTATTAACTTAATTTTTAATTATTTTAATTATTAATTTTTTCCTGTGATGGCAAAGCTGAATTTTCCAGTCTTCAGTGTCACATGATCCTTCAGAAATTAGTCTAATATGCTGATCTGCTACTCATGAAACATTTCTTATTACTATTACCTAAAACACTTTTAGGCCAATATTTGTAATATTAAAACAAACAAAAGACTTACTTACCCCAAAACAATATTTAAAAATGATCCTTTAATGCCCCCAGTGATTGTATTGCAATACACTTCGTAAGATGTTTAGGTAAAGAGGGAGATGCCAAATATTATCTATGTGCAATACCAGTCATAAAGGAACGTAAATAACTAAATAAATAATTCACAGCAATTTCCTTGTTTGCAAATCTTTATACCATAATCAAGCTGCAACTTTTTAAAATCTATGGTTGTAAAAAGATTTAAAAAGTTCATTTAGTTTATGAAAGTAATGAGTTTAGCTAGATTATAAATTCATCGTTTACATGCAAAAAAGCCTTTGACTCACTCAGGTTCCTGGAAAGCTGCTCACTAGGGCCTAAAGACACAGAGATACACAACTTCTCCATCACCAGCAAAAAGTGTGTCGTTTAAGTATTCACATTGAGACAGGCAGCGTCTATGCTGAGAGCAAACGTCGCAACAAAACTTGAATGTCCCCGTTATATATAAATAACAAAGCTGCCACATTGCATACTTATAGTGTAGACAGCTCTGTTGATTATAATTGGAGCACTTTAGTTTTGTCGTGCCACATTGTAGAATATGAGAAGCAAAAAGGGTTGGACGGAAGAAGAAAGAGATAGAGAGGAGGTAGGAAGTAATGAGGACCTAATTAGCTTAGATTATAGAAACGGTGATGACAGAAGTGCCTGTGAGAGACACAGACAGGAGCACACACACATAACGGCATACAGAGATGATGGCTGGGGTCAAGTGACTGGGAGGATTAGTTCGAGTGTGTGGCAGGCAAATCTCAACTGGCCCTCAGAGGCGAAAAAGTTCACTGCAACTTTGGCTCCCTGCGATCGTGGCACCGTGTCATTAATCTGGATGCGCTGGTGCGTGTAAATACACACTTGTCCTTCCCTGTAGGCGTGTACTTGCACCTCCCTCAGTCCAGCCATCCGGCCCTCCTGAAATGTTTAATGGAATTAAGGCAATGAAAATGCAAGATGAATAAGGGACTAGAGAGAAAAGAAAAAAGGGT